TAGGCGATGACGCCCGAGGCACTGGTGTTCTGAAGCTCCCAAGGAGAGAACTTGTGTGGAAGGGAACAGGGGACTCATTAAACTTGGGGTCTCCAGGTCCACCCATTTCTAGGCAGGAAGAAGGTTAAGGGAGCAAGGATCAAGGCCTCTGAGCAAGTCTTCGAGGGGATGAAACCAGGGAAGAAACTGAGGGACCTAAAAAGCTCAGAATCCAGCTGTACCCAGTCTGGCCAGGCTCTGGTGAGCAAGAATTAGCCCTTTCTGCCTTTGTTCCACATTTGTGAAGCTGTCCTCTGTCCCCAGAGTGTCCCAAGCCTGCTCAGGGGTGAGTGGAGTTACTGAAACTCTAGGTCAACCATGCACATAGGAAGTGGAAGGTCCCAAAGAACAATGGCAGGCGGCCTGTGACACATTTCGTAGTGGAACAGAGGGCAGCTGGCAAGAAGTCCTGGGTTAAGATAGGCAAGGTGAACAGCAAGGTCACCAACTTCTCCACCAACAAGGTGGAAGAAGGAAAGGCCTACCAGTTCCTGGCAGTCAATTCAGAAGATGTGAGCTACTCACAGGAGACCGACAAAGTATTTGCAGAAAATCCCGTGGGTCAGGGAGATTCCCCAGGACTCAGGGGCCACCCCGGGCTCAGGGTGGTGAGGAGTACAGATTTTCCACACTCATCTAAATGTCCCATGGAGCCGAGGGTTTAGCTCAGGGGCTCAAGTGCCTGCGTGGTAAGTGCAAAGTCATGAGTTTGATTCCCAGTATCCAAAAAAAAATCATCTAATTTTAGGGGCTGGGGATTTAGTTCAGCCCCCTAAGAGCCTGCCTGCCAAGCACTAGGTTGTGAGTTTGATACCCGGTACCAAAAAAAAACCCAAATAAATAAATATCCCATGGGACAAAGTGATGGCAGAAGAGGAACAGAGCATTGTTCCACTTTTTCCAGCCAGATCACATGTACAGCACACTCCATGCATGGGCACAATTCCAAAGAACTAACTCCCCTTCTTTCTCCATCCCAGAAATCATCCTAGAATGCAGAGGAATACAGCATTACTCTTAGAGTGGTTAACCTTGAAACCATTCTAATTTCGTATCCAAAAAAACCCTTGACGATATTGGCGTCTTAATTAGAGTTACCAAGTAATTACTCACTGCACCCTTCCTCACTGATTTCCATGGCTCCGTGTGTCTAGAAAGCAGAACAGCCACAGTGGCGTTGGGGAATGTGCTGGTAGAACATGTATGTCAGTGACCCTCGCTCACAGCTACATGTTAGAATCATCTTTGTAAAAATGCTAATCTTCATCCTCTACCCCCAGCCAATTAAACTGGAATATCTGGGAGTGGGACCCAGAATCCTGACAGGTAATGATTTTAATTACTCTCCACTGATGCTAATGTGCAATCACAGAAAAAAAAATTTTCGGTATTTTTGAGACAGAGTCTCACTATGCAGCCCAGGCTGGCCTCCTGCCTCAGTCTCCTGAGTGCTGGTCTTACAAGTATGCATCACCACACCAAGAATTACTGATTTAATGGGCTGAGGGGGGACCGTCCATGTGCTCTTCCTCTTCCTAAGCTTTGCCTTCTCTGTGTCCTCACAGAACCCATGGTCTTATTTCTCAGCTTCGAGTGACTGATGCCACCAAAAAATCTGAAAATCATGTGGGATGCCCCAGCCCAGATGGCAGAGCCCCAGTGCTCAGCTACATTGTAGAAAGAAGAAAAACGGCAGCAACCTGTGGGTGCCCATCAACAGGGACCCCATCCAGGTTGAGTTCCTAGTGACAGAGGCCCAAAAGGGACAAACCGAGGTCTAGCTGAGTACACCACTGCTACTCTGACATACTCTCTTTTGGGTTGTTATTGTGTACTGGGACTGAACCCAGGGCCTTTGCACTTAGCTGTAGCCCCAGACCTTTTTTATTTGACTGACTGATTGATTGACTGAATTGCCCTGATTGGATTCAAACTTGTGATCCTCCTGCCTCAACCTCCCAGAGTGCTAGTACTATGGGCATGTATCATCATGCCTAGCATCCCGTGATGTCCTCTTCCACAGTCTCTCACCCCTTGGTCTCTCACTGTGCAGATGCCCCGCCCTTGTGACCCCTTATCTTCCCACATTCCCAGGCACCAGGTACACCGAGGATGGTCTCCTGGAAGACACGGAATATGAATTCCGGGTCATAGCTATGCCATCCAGTTCAGTGGTGGCCAAAGATCCCATCTGTGAGTATGGGGCCACCAGGCTCCAGCACATAGTGCTATTAATCATTCAAAGCAGAGGGAGAATTGCTTTCTGGGAAGGGCTGATGGGAAGAAGGGGTCACACAATCTGCTTGCTGGAAACTGTCAGCCTTGCACAGGGACACAGTTTGTTCCCAAGAGAAAACCAGAGAATAAACACTGTGCATCAGAGACACAGACAGGTGGGAATCGTTTTTCATCAAGTACCCTGAAGATCGGTGGGGGTGCCGGGCAGGTCTTGAGCTTAGGGGATGAGGTGGGGGTCCTAGGTGTAAATGGTACGTGTCAATGGCTGGGTTAAAGACTGGGGTTTGGAATGTGGAGGTTTGAGTCTTTAGGGTATGTTAAATTTGTGGTGTACTGACTTTAAGGATGAAACTGTTGATTGAGTAAAAGATTTTAATTTGGAGGCTGTCGACCGTGCAGGTTTGGGAACTGAGCATTTAACTGTGAAAGCATGCAGGAGTGCCGTGAAGACAATGATTGTGGGGTTGAGTGGGATGAATTTGGGGGCCACCGGATGCCTGTGCTACCCCACATCCCCCAGGTCTGATTCAGGGCCCACATGTCAATTCCTCCAACTCGAGTACCTCCCTGAACTGATGAGAGCCCGCAGGAGACCCACCCTCCAGCTGCACCCTTGAGCTGCAGCTGAAGACAGCAAAGGGTGGTCCAAGTACACACAGATCCCCGTCGCAGGCACCTGCTGCACACTTAGAGGCAGGTAAAGCTCGATGAGGAGGTCTGAGCCATGCCATCCCCAGGTGAGGGCACAGAAAGGGGTAAGGTTCAGGCTCAACATTTTACAGCCATCCAACCTTCCTCTTGCACAATGCTGTGATCACAAAGAAGGCATCTGAGTTGGGCAAAGAGATTGCAAGTTCAAGCCTAACCCGGGGAACTTAGCAAGACCCTGAGTCAAAATAAAAAAGGCTGAAGATGTGGTTCTGTGGGAAAGGCCCTGGCTTCAGTCTCCAGTATCACTAATAATAATAATAATAGTAATAACAATAAGGAGGAAGAGGAAAATCAACATCATTCAGAGCTTGGCACAGTGGACTGCGCCTATAGTTCCATCTTCTCAGGAGGCTGAGGCAGAAAGATTACTTGAGCTGAGAACTTGAGGTCAGCCTAGGGAATAAAACAAGCCTCTGTCACAAGAACAAAAAAAGGAAAACAAAATCCAAGATGACAGGTATAGCTCAAGGGTACATCACTTGCCTAGCATGCATCAGACCCTGGGTTCAATCCCCAACACTGAAAGAAAAATTATTCATATTTATGCCTCGATAGAGGTGAGAGTAACTGTACAGAGTTCCCAGCTGGAAAAGAAAAACAGAGAGAGAGAGAGAGAGAGAGAGAGAGAGAGAGAGAGAGAGAGAGAGAGAAGAAAGACAGAGAGAGAGAGACGAAGAAAGAAAGAAAAAGAAAGAAAGAAAGAGAAAGAAAGAAAGAAAGAAAGAAAGAAAGAAAGAAAGAAAGAAAGAAAGAAAGAAAGAGCGAGCAAGCAAGGAAGCTCCTTTCCTGCAGGCCAAGTATATATGCCAAGGAGAGCGTTAGGGTCTGAGAAAGAAGCAAGACACAGGACTGCCACCGGGTTCTTACACACCAGTGGGGCGCTGGTGAGGAGACAGACACTTCACCGTGTGCCCGGCGGCCAGATGCCTGTGCAGATTGGGGGGTCTGGGGAGAGGTTGGAGAGGCCTGGGCTGGGAAGCTCCTGACAGCTGAGACTTCTTGAGCGAGAAGTCCATGTCCTTACTTATGTCTGTTCCTTCATACTGCACCCAAGTTTGGCCCTCCTTTGTGCTGAACAGCTTCCTGTATCCCCGAGGCCTCCTCTATGAGTTGTTCCTGACCCCAACTCCCCGTCCTCCACGTAACCAAGATGACTGCAGCACCATCACAGCCTCTGCCTCTGCCCCTTACCAGATCCCTCCGCTAGAGCCTGGTGGGAGACTCCATGGCAATAGGCAGAGGTCTGTCAGGCCTGGTGGCACACGCCTGTAATGCCAGAACTTGGGAGGCTGAGGCAGGAGGATCACTGCAAATTCGAGACCAGCTAGGGCTACAAAGTGTGCCCAAGGCCAGCATGAACTGCATAGTGAGTCTCAAAAATAAAGTAAAATTTAAAAAATAAAAATAGGTGGGGGTCCTTCGTCCAGATACCATCTGAGTAATAATGATGCCAATTCCTGTCCCCACCCAGGGCCCACCATCACCCAACAGGACCTGGAAGAAAGAAAGCTTCACAACCCAGAGCTGGGAAGCCATTATCAAGGGCAAAAACTTCTCTCTGTTCCTCATCAGCAGGCCAAGCACTCTGACTCAGCTTTAGAATGACCCCAGGAAGGCACATGGTGATATCCACAGGCACGTGGCAGGTAGGACCATGAGCAGAGACACACTGGCGTCCTCTTCCAGAGGGAGCTTCCCAGCACTGTGCACACTGCCTGGGGTTAGGGAAACCTTTGTCAGCCTCTGCTGAGAGCAGAGGGGTTTTCCTCTCTTTTTTCTCAAAGGCTGACAACTCTAGCGCTCTGACCCTTAGAGACACTGAGCAAGTCCTCATTTTAGGCTCTGCAGTCGTATCTGGTGCACTTTGAGCATAGAATGCGCTCAGGGAGAGTAGGGAATAGGAATAGGTCACAGAGGCGTCTAAAGCCATTAGAAACCAAAGTGACTGCATAGGACTGGAAGCTTTATTTATAAAAAAAAAAAAAAAAAAAAAAAGCCTCTAGACTCCCACGGAAAGAAAAGAATGAATGTTTATTGAATAGTAACTGCATGCTGAGCCCTTTACTCATTATTCCTTTGAAAGGAACAGTTCTTGTTAGTCCTTTTTTTACAAATGAGGAAATGGGTCTCAGAAAAAAAAAAAAAAAAGGTAACTTTCCCAAGGTCACAGGGCTCCCAAATGGCAGAGTAACACTTCATGTTTTTGTGACTCTAGGACATCTGCTGCCGCAGGCTCGAAGAGAGTGCCTCGTCCATCAGGCACAGCAGGGGTTACAAGTGGATAATCAGTAAACGGGAATTAGGGGTTAGGGGCCGAATGGGACAGAGAAGACACAGAAGCAAAGCTAATGTAGGGTCTGGGTAAGTTGGAAATACTAGGTACCCAGATCTGACAAGTGGGGGCTGGAAAGGACCTTCTAGTCTGGGAAAATGTAAAAAAGTAAACCTCTGTTCGGGCTGAGAACTCCTGGAGTGGGTGCAGGCTGGGCAGTGGGGAGTCCCACAGGAAGAGCCTTTAGGAATCAGTGCAGCGGGTACCCCCACAGCTGCCTGCATCTGAAAATCTGGCCCAGATCTTTGTGGTTCCACAAAGCTGGGTCTCCAGGGTGCCCCTGAAGCTCAAAAGCTGGGGTGGCAGGTGGGACACTTGGGGGCCATTCACCACCACCTGCTTTGTCCTCCCACCACATAGTCGAGGACCTGAGCATGAAGCTACCAGAAGGTCTGGTGCCACTCATTGCCTCCTAGAACCCACTCAAGCCTCACATGGTGCTCCGAAGCCAGGACTGCACATGACCTGTGCCTTACTTGGGAACCTGAGGCCCACAGTGATCCTCTGCAAGGGAGATGTCAGCATCTCCCTTGCAGGTGAACTCCAAGTTCTAGCATAACTCCGTCAGCTGCAAGTGCACCATCCCACCGTTGTCATCCCTGCCTGCACCTGAGCACTCAAGGTCAGTGATGAGTGCGGTGTGCTCCCTCGCCATCTGTAGTAAGGGCACCTCTGGGACCAGGTGGGGGCAGGGTGATAGATCCTTTCTGAGGCACAGGAACAAAACCACAGTCTCCTGGGCCATTCATCAACTCTCTTTTCACTGGCACAGTCCTCTGTTTAATCTTGACTGCCATCAGGTGATGCAGATACTCAAGGTTACCTCTCCCATGCTCCCAAAGTCTTTGTTATATTCCTGGCCCCTGCAGATCTGCGTGTGATCCCTTGATAAACCGTGGTTAGCAACCCACAGTGGAGTTAGGTCACCTTTAGAAAAGATACAATCAGGCATGGTGGTGCATGCCTGTGGTCCCAGCCCTTGGGAGTTTGAGGCCAGCCTGAGATACATAGTGAGTTTAAGACCAGCCTGAACTACATAGTGAGAGCCTGTCTCAAAAAGAAAAGATCCTGCCCATCACTTCTAAACCAAACACAAAATCACAAGTTCTCTGGCAGGTTTTGAAACCCTCAATCTAACCCTAACCTGGATGTTTGTAAAATTTTGCAAATCACAGTGATGGGCAATCAAGATTGAAAACCAACTGGTCTAGGATGAGCACAAATGGGAAACACAAACAGCGAAGACTGCAGAACCTCCCTCTCAGGCACATATGACTTGCTTATGCTCATGTTTGTGAACAGATGGGGGAGACAGTTATTCCTTCTCACAGAGTCTACTGTCTCCTTAGCTGCACAGCTAGCAACATGAACCAAATAAACTTGACCTGCTTTGCTCCTTCTCACCTCCCACCCAGCTCTCCCGATCCTCATGGTAAAATCTTAACCAAGGTTCCCACTCCCCATCTCTCCAGCCTCATTATGTCACATTGTTTTGGTCTCCATGGTTATAGACTTTGTCCATCAGTTATAGTTGCCTTTCCTTGGAGAAAGAATCATGTTCTTTTGCTGTCTCTCAAGTGCTCAACTAAGTGTCTAGCACTGAGATGACAAAGCCTGCAGAGTGGCTGCCAAACTGCCAAACTGGCAAGGGCACTGGGAGAGGTGTCCAGCACTCATTGCTTAGCTGGAGATCCTGAGGACTTCACTCTGGGTTGTAAGCACGTGGGCACAGGGCCTGACACCATTACTGACCAGCCATGTGCCCTTGGAAAACTACTTTCTGAAGAGCCTGTTTTCTCACCTCCTGGGGCTGTGAGATTAGAATGAGATGGAGCAGGGAAGTGCCTGGCACAGTGCACCATGTCAGGTGCTGAACCAGGGTAGCTTTTGACCACATAAACTCAGCCAACCTAGGATTGAGGGTCCCAAGGCTCAGCCCCAGGTCCTGTGTCATAACTCTGAAGTCCAGCAGTTAGGAGTTTACCCATTCCCCAGCAATGTTCATGAATGAACATTTGCTTTAGTCTTTCAGACAAAGATGACAAGACAATCGGCATCCATCATAGAGCCTACAAAGAAATCCAAGCACCTTATGAGAGCTCCGGGAGGCTGCCATGATAGGGGCTTTTGGGCCTGTTCCCAACATGGAACCCATTTTGCCCTCTGGTCACACCAGTGTAAACATTCTGTGCAGGGATGGGACAATAAACTCACTGAGCTCACCCTTCCCAACCAGGTGGGTGGGCAGAGCTTGTGAGAGACCAGGCTGCAAATCCATGCACAATAGAGCATCTAGCCAGGTGCCTGGGCCTTGACTTGGCTTTTCCTCCTCCACAGCCTCCAGGTGGGGGCAACTCCTGCCAGCTTCATCTTCCTCCCTGTCCTCCTTCCTCATGCTTCTTCACACCAGGCTGGTCTCTGTTGAGCATTCCAGTGTTTGAAAGGATTAGGATTTTGCCTCATCAGTTCCCAGCAATCCTAATATCATAGCTAGAAGGGACCAGTCATCCAGTCCACTGAGTTTCAAACATCTTTCACGGTGGAATGCTTCCTGAAGAGAAACAATTCTTAGCTACAGATTTAAAATAAGAATAGACAGTCTTGTCAGGGCATGGTGGCTCATGCCGATAATCCGAGCACCCAGGAGGCTGAAGGTAGGAGGATCACAGTGAGCTCAAGGCCAACCTGAACTACACAGTGAGACTCTGTCTCAAAACATCAACAACAAAGAAGAGCCTTTGAGTCCTCCTCTTCTCCACTAGGAATCTGTAAAAACCCTAGTTTGGAGCTAGGAGTGTGGCTCTGTGGCACAGTGCACACCGAGCATGTGCAAGACAGGAGTCGGATCCTCAGAGGCAGGAGAAGGAAGAAAAAAGGGAGGTAGAAGTAGGGAGGGGAGAGAGGAATGGGACAAAGAAGGGGACACAGAGAGCGCAGAAAGGAGGGAAAGGGAAAGGAAACAAAGGGGAAAACTCTAGTTTGCAAACTCATGGATTTAACCAGGCATAGTGGCTCACACCTAAAATCCCAGGACTTGGCAGGCTGAGGTAGGAGGATCAGCAGGAGTTTGAGGCCAGCCTAGGCTACACGGTGAGTGCAAGGCCACCCTAAATTCCATAGTGAGCCCCTGTCTCAGAAAACAAAAAAAGAGAGAAAATGGATCCACGCAAGCCCATGGGATATAAGTCTTCCTCTATGGTACCCCTACAAATGTGCAACAACTCTACCCATGCTGTAGTCACCTTCCTGTTAAAATGCAAATGCTCCCAGAGTCAGGTGAGGCATTATTCTGTCAGGGCTAGAGTATGAATCAGCCAATCTAATCCCACACCTCAGAGTCCAAGTAGAAGGAGATGCTTAAAAAGAAACCCGATGTTCTACAGCAGACAGCAGGGATGGAGTGGGAGGGGGTGGGAGGCCGGCAAGAGGAGGACACTGGGTAATAAGGGCCAGAGGAGGACACTGGTTAATAAGAGCCAGAGGAGGACACTGGGTAATAAGGGCAAGAGGAGAACATTGGGTAATAAGGGCCAGAGGAGGACACTGGGTAATAAGGGCCAGAGGAGGACACTGGGTAATAAGGGCAAGAGGAGGACACTGGGATAAGATATGATGCACAAACATGAGTGCATCAACAAAAAAGGCAGACAAACGCAAGTGCTACCCATCCCCCACCCTCCTGAAACACATCCTCATGCACACACACGTGACCACGGAAGTGAGATCCATTCCAACCTGCAGAGCCAAGGAACCAGCCTGACGCCAAGATGCCTGTCCCAAGACTGTGACCCAGACTCTGAGGACAGCCAGGGCCCCTGGCACTATGCCCCCACCTCCTCTCCAGGACAGGCACGTGCCACACAGCCAGACAAGTGGGCGAGCCAATGGCTCTTAGTTTTTATTTTTTATTTCGCATGAGTGGGCAGTAAAGGACGGATTGCTCCATCCTTACTCCCCTTGCATTGAATGTGCCTTGAGTTTTAAGACCCTAGAGTGTCATTAGGAGCCCCTTCCTCTTGCTCCCAGTGCAGGAGGGGCAGGGAGGAAAACTCTGAGGATGGGTTGCAAGGTGGGGAGCCTGGCTCTGAGCCAGGCTCCACAACCCTCAGCAGCTCCCTGAGGCCCTCTCCCTATGAGACATTTACGGACAGTAGGACAGAGACATACAGCAGGGAAACACAGGTCAGAAGATAGACCACACACACACACACACGCACACAGACCACCCCTTCCTTTGGCATGGGTCACCCTAGCTCTGGAAACAGGATCTAAGGGTAATTTTAGGGGGCCTGAACTCTGGGTTGGCCTGTGAAAGACACAGGGCCAACTGAGTCCTTGGTATACACAAGCTCTCCAACCCAGGAATTTCCCTGTCCTGCCACCCGGACAGACATCCCTTCCCTTTCACACTCACCACGTAAAGATTATTCAAGTAATAAGGATACACAAGGGGAAAGGGGACTCCACCCTCATCCAATCTTCCCAACTAAGGGCCAGTGAAAGTCCTTTAAGCCCTGGCCCTGGGTCCTCGGCAGAGATCTTTTCCCCTCTTTCCTGCAACTTTATGCAAATCAGAAAGGGTGAGAGTGGGTAAGTCCAGCGCTACCTTGGTCCTAGGCATAAGAAATACAACCACTCTTCCACCTAGCAGGGAACAGGGTCAAAGTAAGCACCATAATCCTGGGGTGGGGGGTATCTGACAGTCATAATGGGGTAGAGGTGGGAGAGGTCTATGTTTGGCTGACTGAGCTGGCAGTGTTGTGCTGGACCACCAGGTTTGCTAGCGAGGTCCTTCTGCTTACCCCCTCAAACTCGACAATTAACCCAGGCAGTACCTGCTGCTCCAGGCTGCTCTGCAGCCGTCCTAAGCCAGTTCCTGTAGGTTCCCAGGACCTGGACCTCAACCCCAGGAGACAGAGATGCACAGAACAGGCCTCTCAGTCGGCCTTTCTCAGTCTACAGTCCGCCACTGGCTCCCGGCTCTCAACGGCAGACAGGGCGATGAGCATCTGAGCAGCGTAGTAGGTGGACATGATGAGTGCTCGAGAGTAGGGCACAGGAAAGCAGAACTTGTTGAGCCCGATGGTCAGGTCTGAGATCATAAAGAGCAGTGCACCACTGCCAGCTGCCAGCTCCGTCCAGCGCCACGCTGCCCCGACCAGCCGCAGCCCTGCCATGGCTCTCCAGCCCATGAAGCTGATGAGGGCCGCATAGATGCCCACCAGGTAGATAAAGGCACCTGAGAGGCCGGGGTAGAGGAGGGCATAGCACAGGCCGGACAACAATCCCATCACCAGACCAGTCCGGAGAGCCAGTGGCCGCATGCCAAAGGCTGAAGCGTAGAGCATGTGTGTCACAGCAAACATCAGCATACCTGAGAGTGAGACGGGACAAAGGATGCTGAAGGTGGGCCTGGTAACTATGAGTATTTGGGGATGGGATACCCTAGAAGCTTTGTGTTAGAAATCACAGGGGCAAGAAGATCCACACGGTAAAAATCACCCCCACACATACACATACTGTCCTGAACTGACCACTGGATCCCCTGAACCCACCAACAAGGAACCCCATAGTCACTGGCCCCCAAAAAACTCAAAATCCTTCTTCAAAAGTTCTCTTGTCAGCCAAGTGTGGTGGCACATGCCTATAATCCCAGTAGTAGAGAGGCTGAGGCAGGAGGATTGCTGTGAGTTCAAGGCCAGCCTGGGCTACAAAGTAAGTTGAAGGAGCCAGGGGTGGTGGCTCACGCCTGTAATCCCAGCACTCGGGAGGCTGAGGCAAGAGGATCATGAGTTCGAGACCTGCCTGGGCTACAAAGTGAGCTCAAGGCCAGCCTAAACTGCATAGAGAGACCCTCTCTCAAAAAGACAAAAAAAAAAAAAAAAAGTGAATTGAAGGCCAGCCTGAACCACACAGCGAAATCCTGCCTCAAAAAAAACAACAAAGTTCCCTTGTCAAGCTGGGCGTGGTGGCTCATGCCTGTAATCCCAGCACTCCAGAGGCTGAGGCAAGAGGATCATGAGTTCAAGACTTGCCTGAGCTACAAAGTGAGCTCAAGGCCAGCCTGAATTGCATAGAGAGACCCTTTCTCAAAAAGACAAAAAAAAAAAAAAAAAAAAAAAAAAGTTCCCTTGTCCAAATGCTTGGCTCCCCCAGGGGTCTCCCCAGCTTCAGAACCCCTTCCAGACAGCTATTTTGACCACTGACCATGCACAAAGTAGCCCTGGTCCTGCCAGATGAGGAAGGCATCCCCTACAGCAGAAAAGACAAGCCCCACAAAGATGCGGGCAGCGCTGGGGTGGGCCTGCAGGAATCCAAGGCCATGCGCCAGCAGGAAGAGCCACAGGCAGAAGATGGGCAGGCACTTGATGAGGGCGCTGACCCAGGACGGGCTGGAGGAGGGCAGCCAGAGCACAAAATACACGCAAGTGGCCTTGAAGAAGGGTACCAGTTTAGGTCCTTCACTTTTCACCTGGAAGACACAAGACAAAGGCAACAATGAGATCTCAAAAGCTCAGAAGCCCACTTTGGGGCTCAGAGGCAGCACCCTCAACCCCAATATCTACCTCAAAAACAACCTTTACTCTGTATGCCACCCCAAACAGGAAGGACACAGAGTAACCCAGCTCTCAACCTGCAGGAGTGAGTGAACAAACCCACTGTCATCCTTAAGCCTGACTCCTTGGGAGGGGGAAGGGCTCTTCTGTCCTGGTTACTCCTGTTCACACAGCTGGACAGCCAACCGTCCTGAGCATACCGTCTCCCTTCTCCAGCCCAATGCTTTTCCCTTCCTGGCTCCCTCTGCCTCCTCGGTATGCTCTTAGCCAGTCTCCCTGCCAGCATCAGCCCGCAGCTGTGTGAAACCACAAAGACTGGCCAGCTCATGATCCTCAACAGTAGCCAGGACACAAGCTTAGGGCCCTGGCAACACCAGGTGAGTGCCAGGAATGTGGAAGGGTGGGATGACAACCACCTCCACCCCCACAGCCCCTGTCCCCTTCCACCTCCATTCCACCTATCCTAGACTAACAGTGGCACCAAGGACAAAGCCAGTCACAGTGGCTAGGGATGCTGGGTAAAGAGACCCAACAGTTGAGAGCAAGGAAACTCTCAATCACCAGGAACCACAGGGATTGAGGGAAGAGGTGTGGGGCTGGAGGAAGTGTGCCCCGTTTCCCAGAGAACAAGAGCAACTGGAGGGGCGGGAGAAAGACAGGAAGAGGGTGGGGGAGGGCTATTTTCCCAGCTTCTGATCTGGAGCCAGCAGACAGCTTGGGAGGAGACAGGGAACTAACTAAGAGAGGGAAGTTAGAGCAGCTGACTTGGTCTCAACCGGATTAGGGGGAGGGTGGCTGAAGAAAGGCTGTACCCAAGGCCACTGCAGACACAGTTCAAACTGGGGGTGAGGACAGCTGCAGAGATTCTGAATCTGGGATCCCCAAGAGCTTCTTTCTTTGGGCAGCTGGAGTCTTGGATACTTACACTAGGGCCAAAGTTATTTTTCCCTGCTAGCTAAAGTGTCTCTGGCTGGATGAGCTGTCAAACTCAGGGTTGTGGGGACACTTCAGATAACCAGACCACCAAATGCTAATCAGAGAGACTGTGATGGGGTGAGCGGGAGGCCTGTTCTCCCTCTATAGAAGGCAAGAGCAGGCAGTAGAGATGACTTTCCCTCTGCAAGGAAACTACAACCCCGACAAGGTGGTTAGAGTAGGGGTAAGGCACAGGCGGAGACAGGAGGAGATCAACCGCTTCCACCTCCTTGCTGTAGAAGAGGGACTAATGGTCCCTCTTCCCTTCCCTACCCCAGCCTCCTATTTCTCAGAGAAACTGCCAGTAGGCAGGGAGACCATGACAGCCACAATCCAGTGCTAGAAAAAGAGACAAAGGCTGGACAGGAGATAGTCTGAAAAGGATACAATGTCAATAATGATCCATCTTCCCCCAGCGCGGTATAAGCGTAGCGTAGACTCGGGGCGTCCTCTCCTGTGCCTCATTGATAGGAGAAGACAAGCAGAAAAACTACTTGGCCAGGTTTCCCAGGAGGACCCCGCCACCCTCCTGTCTACCCCTCCGCACCTCCCTCTGATCCACCTCCACCCCAGGCCGCGACCCTGCGGACCCGCGCCAGACACACACAGATCAACAAAGTCACGCTTCTGAGTCACGTGCCCTGTGTTTTCCTCCCTCCTGCGGGTGCGCGAGGAGGAGCCTGCCTGCCCGCTCGCTCACTCACCACAGTGACCGGGGACACCATTGCGGCTGCGGCGGGGAACACCCACTCCGGGCTGTAGCTGCCGGGATGCACCCGCGGCCAGGTGAGCAGGTAGCGAAGCGTCCAAACCCAGAGGGACCAACACTCCCTCCCGCGCTCCCGGCGCTTGCAGTTCTGTCTGTGAACTCCGCGACGTCACTACAGACACCACCAATCATCGGGTGGGAGCCGAGGTGGGCGGGGACTTGGGGGCGGGGCCTAGAGGGCGACGCCTGCTGGGCTCTCAGGGTCTCAGCCTCGCTTCTCTTGGGGCAAGAGGCGGGGCCTGAGGCCCCGCCCCTCCAAGAGGAGGAGCCAGAATCTCCCTGAAAGTGACGGTCCTCCCAGGACCAGAGTGAGGAGCCTGGTTGGCTGGAAGAAACACATGCCTGCTCAGGACACCTGGCAGACAGGATTTCTCCTCATTCAGGAAAGATTTCCCTTCGGCCTTCAGCGTGCAACCTCTGCAGACCCAATTGCACAACTTTCACTGTGTATGGACACACATCCCAGTGGACACCCAATGATCAGCAAGCACACAGCTTCAAGAGAAGAGATTCCTGTGTAGGTACAAAAAAAAAAAAAGCCCTCAGTTCTAAGGAATATACAAACATGCAGAATCGCAGCTACCCTAAACAAGAATCAGATACTCAACAGTCCTTCGGCACACACTTCTCACAAATCCCAGACGTCTGTAACACACACAAATGAGACACCAAGAAGACAGACAGCAGCGGACTTTGCATACTCTAAGGATGCAGAACAATGTGAAATACTAATACATGAGTGGATTTCATGTTGATGTTACATAAAGGTACACAAGTATTGAAGAACTGAGCATGCTCAGAATCATGGCATTACATGGGCAAACTGGTAGGCATTAAATGGGCTGGAATTGGTTCCAGTTCTGCTGCTTCCATGCCCTGCAACTGGGTGAATCACGGCCGTCCGTGACCTTGATTTCCTCATGTGTAAGATGAGTGGACTATATGGTTCTGCCAGACACAAGCATGTTGTGAGAGTTTCAAGTAAGTCCAGCAGGCTTCCTGGACTTGGAGACTTCAGTTACACCTCCAAGGACCGGGTAAGGGGTTTGCACTGGGGTCTGCAGTCAAAACCCATTAGCTGTGTTTCGGGCTTTGGGGACAGGGAAAGGAGTGTCCAGCGCTAATTAGCAGCCATCAAACGCTGGGGTGGTGAGATCCCTCTGCTGTACCAAGCCTTACATAGTATCAGGGAGGGACAAATTGACTGCAGTCTCCTGTGAGCTTCTCCTACAGTGGATCTTTTCCTTCTCTCCTGGACACTACCCACCCAAAATTCCCTGTGTACTGTTGACCAGACAACCCCTCAGAGGTGCAACAGTCCTCCCCTGGTGACAGAATTGACAACCAGAGGTTCAGATCCTGGTTCAGGAAGGGTGAGAGTCAAGGATTTGGGATGAGAGTGGAGCAGTCACCCAAAGTCATCCCCACTCCCCTTAGATACCTCCTACAAGGAGCCCCACAAGTTTGTGAACACTAGCTTCTCTGGGGTTTTTTTTTTCCACTTGGGTTGTGGAGGAGCCTGTATCTCCAGAGCTACATCTCCATGGCTTTGGCACACACATGGATACACGTGGGAACATTCACAAAATGTACTACTTGAAAAGAACCCTGGACTGGGAGACACACTGTACTTGGTAGTATTCTTTTCTTCTTCTGACTTGCTAGTTGTATAATTAGGCCTATCACTCCATCTTTAGAGCCTCAGTTTCATCATCAATAAAATGAAGGCATTGTGTCAGGAGATAAGAACAGTACGCTGTCCAGTCTTCCATCTAAACCCTCTAAAGGGGAGAGTTCCAGCTAACACTCAGAGATAATTCTCAGAAATCAGGCAAGCCAGGACACCTTTCATTTCTCTGGATTTTCATTTCATTAAGTACAAAAATGAAGCCAGGCATAGTGGTGCACACCTTTAATCCCCCAGCATTCAGGAGGCTGAGGCATGAGAATCACTGCAAGTTTGAGGCCAGCCTGGGATACATATGAGTTCAAAGCCAGCCTGAACTACATGTAAGACCTTGTCTCAAAAAAACAAAAACACGTGCCAGAGATATAGTGCAGTGGCACAGCACCTGCCTGGCAAGCATGAGGTCCTGAGTTCAATTCCTAGTACCAAAAAAGAAAAGAAAGAAAGAAAAAAACTTGGGGCTGGGTATATACTAGCTTTCCTAGTGTGCCTAGGTTCAATTTCCAGCATGGAAAAAAAAAGGGAGGAGGGGGAAGAACTACATCAGTGGTTCCCAATAAGTGAGGACTATAAGTTACTTAGAAAACTTTTTAAAAATATAATTGGTATGGTCCCACCCTAATCCTAATAATTCACTGATTTAATAAGTCTCTATACACAGATGCCTAAATACTGTACGTAAAACATAAGATCTAGAACTGTCACCCTCGGGTTTCAAATCTGTACTGAATTACCCAGTAGAGAAGTGAATCATACAGATAGCCTCTCCTCCTCCATGCTGGTTATTCTGTCTTCCCCATCACCACCCTGATCCATACTTGGTCATTCTCCATCCTGCCCTGGGCCCCAGGCTCTAAGGTCTGCAGTATTAGGGTTCCCTAGGCCCCTAGCTTCTAGCTCAGTTCACTCCTGAGAATCAGAAGCCAATCTCAGGATAGGAGGGCGTGTGGGTGAGCTCCACTGGTCTGGAGTTGGGAATCTGGTTGTTCTAGAAACTGTGCTTCTCTGTGGCCCACTCTAAACTCACTCCTTACTCTTTCAGGTCTGGCGTAGCAGTGATCTTCACCCAAGACTGGTTTTTTTAACACTGCCCACATCTCTGCAAGTGGTCACTGAATTCTTTTCAGTTAAAATCTTGACATGCCAGCACCCTGACTGATACAGGCACCAACAAATAAGAGACACTTTCGGTACCCCTTTCCCCAAAGTAAAGAACTTATCCCAGTTTCATTCATATGGGTAAGATTTTTGTCTGTTGAAAAAATAAATTTTTATTTACTACTCAGTGTTTTTACTCTGGATTGCACATTTCGGGTCACAGAGGGTGGGATATAGCTGCCTGTAAAGTGACATTCCTTCTTTTCTGTACCCAAAAGGACCTGTTAGGATGGCCCTTTCCACACAGCTTTGTAATTTTTTGTCCTTGCTCCTCTCCTGTGTAAGACTGAACTCACATGTTCATTCACCCAAAAGATGTTTCCTGTGCATCTCATATGTGCCAACCACTGTGTTAGGTGCTGGAGTTTAAATTATCATGTAAATCATAGGCTACATCCTCATGGAACCCACGGTTTACTTCAGGCAGCAAGTAAACAGACGTGGTGTACAGCAACTGAAATAGCTAAGGGGTAAGGTATGGCACAGGTGACATCAAAGAGCCTTTAGAATCATTAGTCACATCTGACACAGTTGAAGAAGCTGTGGCTAAATCCAAAAGGGTGAGTCAAAAAAAAGAAAAGAAAAAAACAAAAGGGTGAGTTATCACTGTTGATCAGACATCCACAGATGTAATATCCTAGACAAGGGACGTGCATCTATACATAGAAGCACAAGAGACACACTGGATTCAGTGCAATAGTTGTAGTACTGGCATGAGCTGAAGAGTGGAAGTGTAGAAGCCAGAGAAGTAAGCATGAGCCAGGCTGGGAAGGGTCTTGAAAGTCCTACTTAAGGAGTTTGGACTTGAACCAGTAAGATGACAGTAAGCCAGTTGTCTTCTGTTCCTTAACTTCGCTCTTTGAGCCTAGCTCTTACGTAACAGACACATGAAAAATACATAGAAAGGTGACCAAATGTTATTCTGGACTTTCCTTGTGTCTTGGGGGTGGCAGGGGTGGTGGTGGAGGAGCTTCTCACCCAGTGGCCTCCTCTATCTCTGACCCCAGTGGTTTTGCCATGTGTCACCTTCTAGCTAAGCTTGCCCTACCTGGAGCTGTAATCAGTTCAGAACTGTTTACCTTATGCCTGGATTGCTGCTGGATCTCAGCTGACTTCTCTGTGTCTGTTCCAGATGCCCAGAGCACTTCTAAGTGGCCCCTACTCCACTGCACTCCTACAGAGCTGGAGAGGAGCCTGGAAATGCTGAGGAAAGCAGGAGAGGTCAGGTGAAAGGTCAGCATTGTGGGGGAGTGATGCTGTTCATGGTAGCTGAATGTGCACCAGCGAGTTAGAGGTGTTTGCGAGCTGCAGTCACAGCCACCTTGAAAGCTTTAAGGTTGTGATTAACAAGGGAGGAGTCCAGAGAAAAGGATCATACAAATTCTTGGGGGCAATTACATGTAAAGGAATGACAGAAAAACAAAAACAAGGAGAGAGACAAACACGTGAGTTAAAAGATGTGCTGAACGAGAAACGCCCTGCAAAGAAAAAAAAAAAAAAAAGATGTGCTGAGGATGTATCTGAGGCACCAGATACACCCAAATCCAAGTGCTGTCGGAGACAGATGCACGCAGAGAAATGTACATTCATACAGATGACCTGTGCTTTTTGATTTGGTTCTCTCCTTCCACAACAGGTGGCAGACAGTGGTTTTGCTTCCCCTTTGTGGTGGGCCAGAAGCTTTGTAAAGATTAACCCATGCATTCCAAGGCCTATGGATGAGGTTCCAAAACCTTAACCCCAGCCTGGGGCATTTCTAGGGCTTCCTCCTAGCTTTCTGCTTCTAGGAATCAACCTGCTGGTGTCATCCCTCCTCTGAAGACATCCATCCCAGAATGCCTCTGCCTTGTTAGAGCCCACTTTGGTCAAGGAAGTGAGCCCTGGAGTAGCCAGTGTGACTGATGAGGCAGTCTGCTCCTGAAGGCAGTTAAGAAAAAAGCAAAGATTGCCTTTATCAGAACTCATCTTGGCCTGGCCTAGTGGTGCAGGCCATTAATCCCAGCACTCGGGAGGCTGAGGCAGAAGGATGGCTGCAAGTTTGAGGCCAGCCTCAGCTACAAAGTGAGTTCACAGCCACCCCGAACTGCCTGGTGAAACTCTGTCTCAAAAAGACAAAAAGAAAAAGAAAAAACCAGAACTCATCTTTTCAGAACCCAGAGTGCTAAATTTTGGGGTAATTTGTGGAGCAGTATCCATAATGATATTCTGGCTCTTTGCTTCTGAACTTGAGGCCAGACACACCATGACTTAAGCAGAGGTTTTATCCACCATGCGCCCTTGACAAAGTGATTAACCTATCTGATTGTTTCCTTCTCTGTAAAATACCAAACGCAGTGCGGGTGATGTGAAAGGAAGTTTGTTAATACATGTACCATGTCTGGCCCAGCCCCTCTCCTGTAATATGCCCACCCACCTGTCTTTTGTCTGTAGAAAGATTATTTTCAAGCCTTCACATGAAAGCAAGTTTTTCTAACTGTAAATCTGGCAAACCATAGGTCTCCTAGTAAATTCAATAGCAGGGATCTCCAAGGACGAATCCCTTTCAGTCAAATGTGTGGGTTAGGTGACCTCCAACCCCCACGCTTTCAGAGTCCTGGCCTCTGTGAAGTCAAGTGCTTTGTTTTGTCCTTGAGGTTATCCAAGCTCAGCCCTCTCAGCACCCCTAGGCTCCACCCTTGTACATTTCCTTTCAAACCCAAAGCTCTCTGGGGTGCACCTTTGGGTTGCTCCTCATTCAGTATTAGGAAGTTAGTAGAAGGGAGTAGAAACAAGAAAGGAGCAATCTCTAGGGAACAGCCTAGAGAAAGAAAGAAAGAAAGAAAACACCCCAAAAGATTCCACTCACCAAGCCCCAGGACCTCGTTATTCTCTTCTCAGTACTGGAGTTTGAGGAGCAGTCTTGGTAGAACAGGCAAGAGCAGATCTCCCTAACTCTTCCGCTCTGAGACTCATCTTGTCTGCCTGAACCCCTTCTCTACTTGACCTCATGATATAATACAGTGATACAGATATAATGTTTCATCCATGTCATCAGCTTTTATCTTTTCATAGTACTGGGGATTGAACCCAGGCCCTCACACATGCAAGTTCAATGCGCTACCACTGATCTACACCCTTGGCCCCATGTAGATGGCATTTATTAACTACTTGCAATGGTCCAGGCTATATCTGTATCAAGCTTCACCCAGGAGCTTCTGATTCAAGGGCTGCAAGGCAGAGCTCTGACCCCTGTATTTTAACACGTTCGCCAAGTGGCTCATGTACACACAGAGGCCTGGAACCTCTGTACCACATAACTCACTGTGCCATTCTTTTATCTAGCATGTGTTAGAGCCTAGCTAGAGGCAAAGAAGAAAACTTTTTTTGAAAGGCTATTGCCTAGCACAGGACCTGCTGGGCAATGAGCATTTGTTAAATGCTTATCAAATCATGTCCTTGGTACCTTCATCAATCTTTAATCTTCATAGATTTTTAATCTCCCCTTGTAACCTATGATCTCACTCTGATAGCTAATCAGAACTGCCAGGCTGTTCTGTCTTGCTTTTTGTACCTCCTTTGTATCTCCTGCTTGTGCATCTTCTAAAAGCCCTAGACCACCAGAGACTAGGGCCTGATATTCTGGAATGATCCCAACTAGTGCCCACTGACATAAATAAATCTGCCTCCAAATCCTCGGTGTCATTTTAGTGTCTTTGCTTGCAGTTGCAATAGAAGAGGGATCGCTTATAATGCCACAGTCCAGAGACAATCACAGTTGGATGTTTTGGTATATTTCCTTGCAGTTGTTTCTCATTCACATTTTAGGCTTTCAAGTATATCACCATCATTTCTTTTCATTTGGCTTTTTGGGGTTTTTTGTTTTGCTTTGTTTTGTTGTTTTTTGTTTTTCTGTACTAGGAATCAAACTCAGGACCTCACACTTGCCAAGCAGATGCTTATACTGCTGAGTTATTCCAGCCCTTTTTTTTGTTTTTCTTCTCTTTTCTTTTCTTTTTTCTTTTTCTTTTTCCTTTTTTTTTTTTTTTTTTCTTTTGTTCCATGAATGGAACTCGAGACCAGCCTGGGCTACAAAATTAGCTCAAGTTCAGCCTGAACTGCATAGTGAAACCCTGTCTCAAAAAATAAATAAATCTCTTTGCTATTGTTGTTTATGTGTCTTTTTCGTTTCATGTTTTTCTAGGAATTTGTTTTATTTTATCTTGTTTTGCTTTGCTTTTTCCTCTAATATAGAAAGGATAGGTATACATGTGGAGACTCATCCATGTATAGAACTTCTAAACAGTTTATGAGAATCGATTATATAATGCACGATGAAATGAACAGCTACTTTGAAGAAAAAGAGACACTAAGGTAACCCAGTACTGATTCCATAGCGTCATGATGTGAAATCCAGCAATACTATTATTCTTTGTTCAGAGTGATTGTAGTCTGTTTTGTTAATTTCAATATACATGAAATTATGGACAGCTATTTTGAACAGAATGAAAGACATTATGGCAGCCATTGTTGACTTCCCTATTGTCTGGTCTTGAAGACCTAAAATGCCTTCATCATCCTGTTCTGGTCAGTTTTATACTATTTTGTTTTGTATGAATTCATTGTATGTGAAGATATGGACAATTATTTGGAAGAAAACAAGAGACAATATGATAGACAGTGATGATCTCCGGTTGTCTTACTTTGAAATCTGTGTCTCTTACTTTTTTTTTTTTTTTTTTTTTTTTTTTTGCTATGCAGTTCAGGCTGGCCTTGAGCTCACTTTGTAGCCCAGGCTAGTCTTTCTTTTTTTTAGTTTCAAAAGCAGTAAAATACAACAGAACAAGACAGAATAAAGCCAACTAAGATCTTACAGTGAAATTGGTACAGAACTTCACAGCAGGTTACTGGGATAATAGGTATCACAGTATATTTTGTTATCTTTACAATAGTTGTTCTTTCAATCACGTATATCAAAAAAAATGAAATACAGAACATTATAGAACTTATCAAAACAAAATATTGAATAGAGCAGTACCATTAATCAGAATAAAGCAAAACAGTAATAAAAATATTTGGCCTTGCAAGCAGGCAGTTGTGAGTTCGATCCCTGGTACCGATAAAAAGGAAAAAGACAAAAAAAAAAAATTTG